CAAAAGAAGTGCTCATTGGAAGGTGTAAATGCAAGACTGACGCAAAAGAAATTATTGATAATCTACATTGAAACTGGTTGTTATGATAACTGTGCAACCCAAAGACACGCAGCCTGAAATTTATATGGTCAACACAGACTGGTGCTGATTCATAATGATCGATGTCCCACTTGGTAAAAGGTCTCCACACTGTAATATCAGATTTCATTTAAAAGAATCAGCTGCTTCTAAAGAACAGGTTAGTCCACTGCTCCATGTGGCTAAATTAGTAAATTACTCTTAGAAAAAAGGAAATTCACAGCACCACTTTGCACTGAGGCTGTATATTTTGGACCAAAATGACAGATCTTGTAAACACCCGGTTGAGATTAAGTTGGTAAAATGAAAACCGGTAGAGTGTAATTTCTTCATATAAGAAACTACAACAAACTAGAGGAGTAACGTCAACCACCAAAATGCTAGGGATGTTAGTACAGTTGTACAAATGCAGACGTTAGTGTTTGTTTTAACAAATACACACACACTACACTAACCCTAAAAAAAAAAAGCCACCTGGTGCAGGTATATTTTCTCCCGCTGCACTGGACTGTGACCCTGACAGCAGACTACATAACAAACCATGACTTGTAAACCGTTCCACCCAAGTGATGTTGCAGTGTAATCGGTTTTAGAGGCGTGTTACTGTACAATTAGTCATGCTGACCAGGAAATGTCACACATGGGACAAAAGCATAAAATGTGCCCTGCTCAGAGTGGCCCTGAGCAAGGTGCACACCACCCAAACGCTTCACTGGAGATGCTCAATTGTTTAACAGTGTAGTAGCTTGAATATGAATTATGAGTGTAACGCTGATTCCTCCCTGTTTGCAGCTGGTTTGCCTTGTTAAAGAAGGATTAAAGGCCTCCATGCATATCTGATTAAATTGTAATCTAATACAGGGAATGAAGCATCAGAAGAGCACTGGAGATGCGGATCAAATAACATGTGAGGGAGTGGGCAGCTTTCAGACACTCCCTCATGCAGAGCAGCTAATTTAGGATTCAACAGTTCAACTGAAATCATTTTAAAAAGAGAATGCCAAATGGAAAAACTAGACCAGTTCTTATCTCAGAGGCAGTGGAGCCCAGTGCCAGTGAAGCTGCTAATGTTAGGAGATTTTTTTTTTTTTTTAAGGAATACAGCATTCAGTAGATAACTGTTTGCAGCCAGATCTGAAACAGAACCGGGTACCCTCACATATGCATTTGTCATGTGTAGAGAACAGCATAAACCAGACTCTGTTAAAAAATATAGCAGTTTCATGTTTTTTTTTTTTTTATTTAAACTGATTCATCAAGCGGAATATGAATAGAGAATCTTTTTTTTAAATTAAACTTTCAATACCAGACAGAATAATTCAGCAGGATAGTTTTCGTGTTTGGCGATTACAAAATATTCGATATTATTGAAATACTATTGTTAGCCTATATGTATTTTGTAAGAGGGTCGCTAAAATCAAAGCAGAGTTAAATTGGCCCATTTTTGAATGGAGTTCTGCATATCACTTTCTCACTATGGGAGGATTAGCCAACTCCATGCAAGCCAAGACTAGCTGGGGAGACACCACTCTCGCTTTGGTCAATACCCCCCTCTCTCTCTCTCTCTCTCTCTCTCTCTCTCACACTCACTCACACACACACACACACACACACACACACACACACACACACACACACACACAATACACACATGCGCGCCGTCTAACGTTAGACAATTCACACTGTCTGGCCACTAAACACCAAGAAGAGCTCCACATATCGTTATCAAGCAAAGTAATAGGAAAGAAGACAAAGCACAAAGCACGAGCATTAACGCGCTAAGTTAAAGTTAAAGTACCTGTGTTTTGTGGTCGAGGCTGCGGTCGTTGACCACCGTTGGACGCCGAGATGAGCTTAGCTTTCGCTGTCTCCGTCTGGCGCTTCACCGCTGTTACATTCCCTCCTCATCACAGCTTCTCCCCGCGGACTCAAACACGTCAGGCTCAAAGTATTTTAGGATATTTTTCAATTACTGTCCAAAACGGAGGGAAAGCGCGCCGGTGGTCGTGTTCACAGTTAGGTTAACCCCAAACAAAAAAGGCTCCCCCGGGACAACAACGCTCACGGGCAGCGTTCAGTCAGTTGCTGTGGGAAAAATAAAAACTACCATCTTCACACAAGATTCCTTCTCTGTCGAAACAAAAGTCTGACTAAAGTCGTCTTTCTCTGGAGCCACAGGGCGAGATTTCCAGGTTTAAACTTGTAAAGAGGCTCCTCCGTGTGCGACTCAATGGAGAGCACACCTCGGACTGGATACTGACTACAGCGGAGGAGCAGCGCTATCTCTGTGCCTCCTTCAAGTGCTGTCGGAAATGTCGGAAACGGCCGAGTCAAACACTGAGAAAACAATGAATTATGATATTTGAGACTTTTAAAATCGCACAATGACTCAGCTGAAGAGCAATTTTCTTCCATTCATGGTGCTGCTGCAACATAAACGATCTTACGATAATTTTCTCAGCGCAACAACATCATTACTTTTTTTTAATGAGGGTGAGTTTTGACATTGCTAACTAAAACCATTGATTTCGGTGTGACCAACAAATGGACCTTTAAAATTATTTTTAATCTAAATCAAAAGCAGTGTTGTAAGAGCAAACTGTTTTGTACTTAGTTAAATAAACATATGAGATGTGGTGGTCAATGATGGTCAATAACCAGCCAAATGCAGCACAGATATGAACAATGTGTAGTTGTTGCATGACGGCGTATTTAACAATTCATTTTGACACTAACAACTCACAAAACAAAATGTCAGTTAACCCTAGAGACAGCAGAGTCAACACTGTCAGTGTGTTATGAAATCTTTTGAGGGAAGTGAGAGGATTTTGAGCTGTTTCAGTCACATGCACACACAGATGCTGCAAAAAGGCATATAACCTCTGAGAGCAATGTGCTTCACTTCAGAGGAGGACTCAGAGTTCAGCACACAGCTGCCCTTGTGCCTTACTTTTAGCCAGCACCGGTGCTGTTTGGAACAAGGTGTCTTTCTCTAAAATATCTCTCACTAGAAACTGAACAGAGGCTGTATCGTACACAGAAAATGATTTCAAGACCATGTCATGCAAGATGTTTCTGATTATCAATGATATGAAACAGTGATGCACACAGGCCTGGTCCAAAACACATCTTTGTGCAGGTCTTGTCATCACTTACAAATATGTTATTTGTCATTTTTAGGCATTATAACCTAATTGTGGCACTACTTACTGGCTGTGAAATGCAGTACGCAGCTAGTCAAGTGAATCTGCAGTGTGTTTGGCAGATAAGGCAGTTCAAGTGGCCTGGTCACCCAATCTCATCTCCTTGCTCTTGCTCTTCTCAGACAGACGATCCCAGGCCTGTTATAATTCACTTTCCACCTTGCAGGCTTCAGTGACAGATAGCTTCAGCCTGGGGATGTCAGTGAAGAACTTTTATGACTTGAGGCCACCAGTCGAATATTGGCCAGCAAAGGTTTTTCTGCATCTGTATGCTCAGTCACAAGAGTTACAAGTTACCTTTCAGTTACATATATCTACAGCAGTTACTCAGTCGCATAGACATTAGCTGACTGGACAATACAGCACAGTATTGCACTTACAATATGCACTTTTTTCAGTTCATACACATATATAAAGGTTCTGTCAGTCACATCATGATGGCATGAGTCATGCTTTTCATTTGAATAAGCTGTAGTCTGCGTTAATCATATCAAATGGATATCTTCCAAAGTTACAGTCGTCTCAGTGCAAATTTCTCTGTTGAGCTGCAGTAGAAGGACAGAGACTAAAGGAGATAATTTTGTGCTGAAAAGACTGCACTCTGGAAGATATCCACTCAGTTTTGGACAGTTGTGTGTAATTACTGCAATGAGCCATGTGAGGATGAAAAGTTACATGGGAAAGATTCTTCTTCAGCGGCTGAAGTGGCAGTTGATGCGTCTGTCTCTTGAACATGGTTGAACATCTCTGCTGATGTCCGTCTTTTCTCGTACCACTATACAATTGTCCTGTCTGTCGAGCATAAGGAATTTCAAAGGAAGCCTACTGTGACAGATGTGCCACCACACAATAGGACCTTCACTCTGTATTCATTCAAGGAACATCTTTTTCTTTAACACCAAGGTTTTCTTTGACATACAGACATTCTTCCTGGATATCTAGATTCATCACATAATAACATGCCACAGTATCATTCCTACTGATTGTACTCAACTGCTAGAGCTACATTGGGAACATTTATAGCTGTCTGTGCTCTGCAAAAAAGAAGCAAAAGATTTGCCTTGGGAGTGACAAGTTTATTTATTTCTGAGGCAAAAAAGCTTCGCTTGCCATCTCTGCAGGGCTGTTCCTCACTCGGATTTTCTTTAAGACTTAAATTACAGCTGCGGTGTGGCAGATGTATCAACTGCAGGTTATCACTGGGTACAAATGTGTAGACAACCCCTGCTGACTCATAATCTGCCACCCTTTGAGTAGTGTAATTTAACTAAGACCTGAACTTACACAAATTAGTTTGCGATTTGGCCTGAAAATCTGGTTCATATAGAAATTTGATCCAAAGACGCCCCCTAGTGTCATCATGTGCTCCATGCAGTGAATATTATACTGGGTATTTACTGAGGACAATTAAGATGCATTTAAATTCCAAAGCCATATCCAAAACAACAATTTCAACAAAATTGAAAAACAGAATTTAAGATGGTCCACGTCACTGCCAGGAGGACCAAACACGCAGTGATCAAATACATTAGCTCCCCATGAAGCCACAGCTCCTTTACAGCACACATCTGACTCATTCTAGTAAAAATGTAAGACTGAGTCATATTTATCATTGAGATAGATAGTAAAAATATGCATAAAAAATCATCAAAATAGTGTCTACCCATACAAACGCTGGATTACAAATCAACGTCAGGCAGTTAACACACAGAGAGAAAATGTGTTGTTCAGTTACTCCCTTTTAATGCAAAGTAAAACAGGAATATAAAATGATTAAAATCAACATTTATAGACCAAATATGACAAGAACATAAACATAAGAGGAGTTTGCATTTACATTGTGCATTTATAGTATACTGTACATTTCATCATTCTTTTCTATTTTAATCTTACTTTACTCTCAATTACAAACTGGGTTAGTTTAGCTACTGCATGTCTGTACCAGTACCAGCAAAAAGTCAAATAACAGCCACATGAAACAAAAAAGATATTGTATATAATTCCAAAGCTGCTTTGATTTTTTTGAATGGTGCTTGTTTTTCTTCAACAGATGAAGTGTTGTATCAGTGGAGATAACCGCCAAAATAAAGTACACTGATATAGGCAGGGAAGTAATGGAGAATAGATTCTGTACAAGTTAGAGACTTTATGAAAATTAGTAGGCTGAGAGGTGGGGTCAGAGAGGGGTGGTCTTACATTTTTGGGAGAGTTTTATAGATTAGATTTTTATTTCAAAAGACTGAGAAGTAGTTTGTGTGCACCATGGATCATAATTGGATGTGCATTTTGCCACATGCAGAGGAAAACAATCAGTGACCTCAGCTCTTCCTCTCATTTCCCTCCAGTCTCTCCTTTTATGAAGAAGAGTCCTAATGTGTCAGTTTGTGCCTGTTTGGACAAATCTGCATCCAAATGTTTCCTTCCATTTAATCTGTATATAATTCTGCTGCCTCAAGCTGTCTAAACACACAGTCAAAGGTCGCTGTCACTTTACTCTGAACTTTAACAGATCTACAGTGAAGTTAAATGCACAGTATCATGTAGAGTTCACCTGTAATATAATGCATATTTAGCACAACCTAACCTGCCAGCCCAGTGGGTGAGGGGAAAATATTACAATGCTGAAGCCCTTCAGCAGCCACAGAGCTGCTGCTTCCTGGTCCCTAATTCAGTGGCATTGATAATAACTTTTTATTCGAAACTCTTGGGTCAAAACAGAGAGCAGCAGTCTTAGCTGTCTTATTAATCATTTGTAAAACTGATTGTACCAGTATCACATTAAGATTGACAGATTAGGGAGGAGGGTGTCGCAATTGAAAAGGGTTATTAATATTTTAAGTCAAACTCACTGCCCACCCCAATAATTTTCATACAGTCCCTTAATACAAATAAAGCTTAACTACAGGCCGTAGAGTGATGTACAAGGCAGTGATTTCTACCACCATCAATAACATGTCAAATAAAAAACCTCAGAAGAAAGAACCATGCGTCACCTCTTCAGTCAGCTACATGGATCTAAATGAAAACATCCTGTTGGCTCAGATCAACACACCTTTGGCTGGTGTTCCCCATATTTAACAGTTACCTGAACAGCAATCATGTTGCTTTAGCACAACGACAACAAACCAAAAATCTGACCTCTCCGCCAAGAAAACTATGAAATATAAAAACATCTGAATCTTCAGTGATATATTTTGCAAAGTCGCACAGCATAAGCTTGTCAAGCGAAAGGCTGCGGGGTTAGGGCAACAGGAAAGCAAGCTAAGTGCTGGGGTTCAGTTTCAGTGCTGTACACTTTGTACTCACTAGTGTGCTCTTGCTCGTGCTCTTTTTTTCAGTACTGAAAAAAATCTAAATAAAAGGAAGGAAGTGATGGCAGAGAAACTCCATGATCTACTCTGCCTGACCAGAAGCAAGAAAAAACCTGATTATTCTTGTTTGGAAAATATTGTGAGTTTGGGATTCTTCAGTTATTGAATTTTAATGAAGTGCTCAATATGAGTGAGTAGCCTGACTGATACATTCACTTTTTTCACATTAAGATCATTTGAAACCATCTTTACAATAAACTTTAAAAGTGACTGTAGTGAATGAACTGATGGTGGGACGAAAGGGCACAGCAGTACACATCGACAATTCTTCTCTTGTATTGCACTGAAATGTTTTGGCAATAAACCCTTAGGCACAAAGCTCACTAACCAACAGGCAGCTCGTCCCAGCAGCCGACAGACTACTGACAGACATCAGTCACAAGCATCTATGTCAGCTTTGTCACTGGATACAGGTGTAATACTGTCTATATGAGATTTGAAGAGATGCCCGGGGACAGTGGAGTCTGACTGTTGAACAGCATTGATAGCAGAAAAAGCCATGATGATATTATAGTGCAAATAAGAAAGCAGAGCTTCAGACGATCAGAGACTGTAAGGACGATGGAAGAAAACTCCCACACCAGTCACAAGCGCCACGTTTGTTATCAGCAGCAGTGGCATTACCTGTCACCGACGCACAACCAACTGTTGCATCAAACACATTAAATGCTGGTTAAAAATGGAAATTTGTTGAAAAATAAATGCTCTGTAGTCATGTCTATTTCGGATGAGAGCCCTGGAATGTATGAAAATATTCTAAGCATTGTCCTTTACAAATCTGTAAATGTGTTTCATTTGGAGCATTTTTTAAATCTTGGAGAGTCACTGCTTAATTTTTTTTTAATGAAAACTGAAAACTTTTAAATTAAAATAAAATAAGAGGAGCCATTTCTCAGCATGGGGCATGGCAGCAAAATAATCTCAAATGAATTAATGTCACATTCTTGTGAGGAGACAAACAGAAATGTACAGTAAGATCTAGTTTTACCAACCTTTGATGAACTTAAGAGTGCGACTACAGTTTCTGCACAGTGCAATTGTCCAGCCGAGTAAGCAGTTTGAAGGAAAGCTTGTGTTAGAAAAACACCCGAGGTGGCTCTCTGCCACCGACTCTACATTCATACACACGTGAATTCAAGGTAAAGGCCAAAACAGTGTTTGCAAATGATATTTAAGTGCAGCTAACAGGTGAAGCTTGCCCCTCTCTAAAAACTGTATAATAAATGTAAAAATAATTAAGTTAAGCACTTAAAAGTCAATTTAATTTTGTGCAATTTTTAATGACAGAGAAGTTCTAATCAGTCTTAATGTGGTAAACTCCACCCGGCTGGTACTTCAAGGTGGTTAAAACATACACTGAGAATTGCCTGCAACTACTGTCTTTGCCTGGTCTGTTTGTTCCCTTGTAAAACACACTGTCATATTTCAAAGCCTCTCACTCACTCACACACACTGACACACACGTTCTGAAAAACACTGCAGTGAATTCAGACACTTCCGACAATTTCTGCAGCGTGTTCACTCAAGCACTCACTGCCCAGGGGTGAAGTGCATGCTGTGCTTTAGCTGTCGTCCTCCTCGTTGCTCTGGGACTGGGTCTTCTCCGGATTGCAGGAGCCTTCAAAGCGTTGGGAGGCGATGACTGCTTGGTGGGACATACTCTTCCTCACTATGTCGCCTTTCCTCCACAGAGTGATCTCCTGCAACATCACAGTAAAACACTGATGATATACAAGATGGTGTAAAGGAACGTACCAGTGGTGGCCTCTCACGTCTACCTTGGTAGGAGTTAGTGAAGGTGAAAATGTGGATTTATAAATGAACAAATATTCAATTTCTGAATAAGAGAAATTCTTTAACAAAATTAAACCCATGAGAGCAGTCAAATTTAAACAATCCGTTATTTTTGTGATTTTGTTTCAGTAAAGACGTATTTGTTATAATCTATAGAAAATCCTCTTACTGTCAACGTAATTAGATTGTTCAGCCTATTTCTGATCCAACCAAGTTCATCTGTACTTAAATAAATGTTTTACTTTACTGGTCAACAGTATGCATGGTTAATAAGGCACCCTATATACTATGTATCTGCTTGCTCACCTAGCAACTAATGAATATTAATTTCATCATCTCTTATATATTAGTTTAGTATATAAAATGTCCAAAAGCTGTCAAAGTTTCAGAGCCTCCGGTGATGTCTTCAAATCTTTTACTTTGCCCAACCAATGTTCCAAAACTGATATTTTACAAGAAAAAGTTTAACATATTGGGAATTAGATGAAGAGATCAACACGCCCTGTTGTCTGTACATTAAATATGAAGATTCAACCAGCAGCTGGGTTAGCAGCAGTGACTGAAAACAGGGAGAATTAGTCAAGTGAAGTAAATTTTTATTTATATAGCACCAAATCACAACAAGAGTTATCTCAGGGCAGTGCCACCAGCATCCGGTTAGCTTAGCTTGGGACCAGTAACCTCCTGGAGTCAATTTAACACTCTGATTTTTGTACATATTGAACAAATGAGCTATAACATGTTAATTAGTGAAGTTTAGAGATGATGGTAGGAGGAGTTTGTTACCTCTGGACAGAGCCTGGCTACATGTTTCCGTCTGTTTCCAGTCTTTGTGCAAAGCTAAGCTAACCAGATGCTGGAGGTAGCGTCATATTTAATTGACAAACACAAGAGTTGCATTGAGTTCTCATCTAACGCTCAGCATGCAAGGGATTAATTTATTTCTCAAAATGTCAAACTTTTAATTTACAATGATATAACTGGAGAAGCTGGAACCAGTGAATATTTGGCACTAATCATTAACTGATTAAATAGTTGAAAAATGTATTTTCTTTTGGTTAATCATTTAATTGATTAAATCATTTAATTGGTTAATCAATTAATCAATTAAATTAATTGTTGCAGCTCTAGTTGGAACTGTATAATATGCAGAGAGGGCTGATAATATACCAACTTTTAAGGAATTTACAAATCACAACAGAACTGATGAAAAATAGCGTAGATAGAATAGAAAACAGTATATTAAACAGATAGGTCAACAGAGGCCAGAAAGCTCCTTCCAGAGGCACAGAGGACATTACACAACTATTTCCCTCTCCTCGTTACGAGTAAATTGGATATTGTGAGTAAACTTTGTGGAATGTCCCTTTAATATTCAAACCTGTGTATCATATCTTTAAAGTTTTCAAATTAGCAAGAACAAATCAACAAAGAATTTATATTATAATATTATATGACTAAGCATAGAATTAAAGCCTTAATATCTGAGGATGCAGAAAGCTAAATGAACCACCAACAGGTGGAATGGTCACAGTGTGAGTGAGGCTGCAGTGCAGTATGTGTACCTGCTGTTTGAAATAGCGTCTTTCCTCCTCATCGATGAGGACCAGGTTGAGGTAGTACCGCACAGAGAACTTCTTGTTAATGTCCCTCATGGTGGGTGTCATCTCATATCCTGCCAGAAACAGCCTGATGGGGATGGACTCTCCTGCAGCACAAGAGGTCAGAGAACAGAATTTGAAGCATGAAACAAATTAACTCATACACAACAGAAACACTACAGACAGTAAAAACCCTCATCATTACCTCTGACTGGGGCACCATCCATGATTTCGTACTTGGCTATGGTGTCGTTCTCATGGTAGACGTTGGGTCCTGTGCCAGTTGTCTCCCGCTTGATGATATCAATCTCCATATGTCTGATCTTGATCCTCACCAGCAGAAAGTAAATCTTCCCGACAATCACATCTTTTAGGTGATACCTGCAAGCAAATGGCACAATCTGTCAAAACCAAACACTCCTTCCCTACTCTCTCTTGCCTTTAGGAAGGAAACAGGTACAATTAAAATGAACAGGTACAATTCTGATCTGAGAGGAGTTATTTTTGTGGTTTACTGTATAAACAACTCATACTTTGATTTATTGTACTCAAACTCTATGTGTAGACAGTCCTCGATCCCCACTTCCATCTTGATGGAGGAGTTGAGCTCAGGGTAGGTGCTGAGTGTGTGAACCACAATGTCCAGCTCTTTGCTGATGTCGTTCAGTCTCCGGCTCACGGTCGCCCTCAGAAAGTAGCTGGAAGCAAATGCAAATTAGCTGACAAGCCCTTATATGACTATGAAACAAGGATATAACACTGAATCCAGTGCGCAACATGTGACGTTGTACTACTCAAAACCCACCAGAAAAAATAAACAGCTGCTCTGGAATGGAAAAACAAACTTCATTGTGAGATTCTTAGCACTAGTGGGGTAACAATTGTCACATTTTGCCAGAAAGGCTGGCTGGATTTCATCAATTTATATTTAGGATTAGTGTTGAGTGTTACCAAATCATGTTAGAGGAATACTTTAACATTTTGGGACAGACACTTATTTGCTGTCCTGCTGAGTGTTAACAGAGAATATTGAATCCTCTCTCATATCTGTCTAAATATGAAGCTAAAAAACACTTAGCATGAAGCAGTGGGAAACAGCTAGCCTGGCTCTGTCCAATGGCATCTAATTTTAATCATTACTAAAACCAAAATGAAAAACAGGAAGTTGACGTTTAATGGGTGGTGGTCCACATAACAGACAAATGTGAGAGTGGTGTTGGTCTCATCTACCTCTACACAAGAAAACAAATAAGGTGTATTTCCCAAAATGTCAAAATATTTCTTAACCATGTTAACGTTAGCATTTTAGCATGTTAAATGCTAACTTCACCACAGGCATTTTAACATGCTAACAGTAGCATAACGACGTTAATATGTGTAGAGATACAATGATGATAAGCTTTCAGTCACTACTGTTTAATGTGTGGAGTCATGATCTAAAATGTTGGCAAAGTAGAAAATAAAAAAATTACATTGTTTCAGTTACATGGAACATGCCGTGGGAATTCTTTGAAAAGTATAATTCAAGATTCATTTGAGTTTGACTAAAGTAAGAAATCCTTTGCCTGTCAACATTAACGTCGCTATGAACTACTATGTATGGAGCAAATAAAAAATAAAAAAACGGGTATATTCAAATATACATTGCAGATAACTCATGCACACTACACAGAGCACACAGCAGAGCTCACCGTAATTTGACATTTTGACCAGTGTAAGACTCGTAGGGTTTCTCCACATGCGTGAACTCGAAGTCAAACGTCTGTGACTGTGTGAGCTCCCCGGGCCGAGCCAAGTCTTTTACAAGAGACACGAACTCATGGTGGTTTCCTCTATCATAGTAGAGCTCTGGAAAAGACACACAAATAGCATCAGGCAGCTACAGTGGAGTGGCTTTACATGTTCTGATTAAGAGTTTGTGCTTTTCTTTTCAAGCTGACAGCTGCAAACAGCCGAGATTTGATCTGATGACTGTAAAAGCTTTGTCTTGACTATTAATGTTCAATGTCTCTCAGCTGTTCTAGACTGAAAAACCATTCAGATAGTGATCAGTTATTTGATAACTGGGCATTCATACTACACCCACTGCAGTACTTTACAATTTCACTTGAGACAGAAAATTATGTATGCTGTAAGAAATCCATCCATTTGGAGGCAGATGTTGGTGAGAAGAAAAAGGGGAACGGGAGGGGTGCAGCAGCTAAGGAAGCATCCAAGATGCATTCATGGTAAAATGTGTCTAGCAAGTATCACGTAAGAGGAACTTCTTAGCATTGCTGCAAAATGTGCATTTAACCCAAACTAAGGACTGGACTGAATGAGGAGTGTGTGCTGTGTAATTAATTACAGATTTTAAATGAAATGTTTACAGTTTTTTTTGCAGAAGTTCACAGTGTAAAGCTGAGTTACTCTTTAAGGATATACTTACTAACTCAGAGTCATGTTGTTAAGTGTCAGTTGTTATAACAATAATGTAAAGTAACATAAAAGACAAAAGGGAACAAGTAAACTAACGACAAATACAATCAACAGTAAATGTATAGTAAACAGTATAATATGCTCATAATATGTTTTGCATAGAAAATGTAGTGGGTATTTAATGACTTTTTGTAATGTTCAGATTTAGTTTTATAACAGCACAACAGCAACATTCGTTCTCAACCTGTAACTAGGTTTATTATGTGCAATCTGGACCTTTAAATGGAAACTCTTTCTTAATAATAAAGTTACAGCTCTAATCTGACCTAAACGACCCACATTTCAAACAACAAGGGTCAAAGGTCAATGAGACAGCCAGCCAATGGCCGCTGTGTCAGCTGACGTTAGCTTACATCTGTGTCTGTCACGAGACCCGACGGTTCACACTGACAGTTGTTATGACAGTACATCACATTGAAGTTAAAGTGCTTCACTCTTGACTTATTAAGACAAATATAATACACTACACAGAGTGAGTGTTTGGTCGTGTGGTCAGTGCCTGTAGCTAGCTACCTAACACCTCCTGTCAGACTTTGGCTACTTCTGTCAGCGGGCTCGCTGTGAAACGCAGGCCCGCCAGCCGCTCACCTATCTGGCCGATAAACTCAATCTTGATGCCGTTGTGCTCCAGCCTCTTTCCGGGGTATTTGAGCGTAACGTTGACTTTTCCCGACACCGTTTCTCCGTCGTAGAAGAGAAAATATTTGTCCTTCCTACCATCTTCGCTTTTGTGCTCAGCTTTCTTTCTCGTTTCGGCGTCATTCAGAACTATGTCGATGTCCGCACTTTGACCAAACCCGAAGAAGCTCATGGCTGCTGGTCAGTGAGGCTCAGTCACTGGATGCTGCTGGAAAAGACGCCTCCTGTTGTGTAGAACAGCACTCGGTAGAGTACTGTCGTGTTGCCGAGAGATGTACGGTGCAAACAGCTTCCCAGATTACTCAGGAGTTCGAGTTACAACCGGCTGACTGCGCATGCGTCGACAGTCATGTGAAGCAAAGCTGTATTTATTTGACGAATTTTTCTTTTTCTTTTCTTTTTAATTTTTCATGTAAACTTACCATCGCTCCTAAACTAACACAAATATATGTGGTTGAATGTGACTATTTGAAATAATGGTAGCTTTTCCCGGTACGATAGCCTGCACTTTCTTAACGCAGTATCAACAGGCGGAAGAAACCAGAAACATTGAGCCTTGTGACTTTGCTACCCGGAACGCAGACTGTCAGGTGCTCAGACTGTCAGGTGCTTCCCACCCTTTTTGGCGCGTGTCCTTAAAATGTATTTACTATCTCACATTAAAAAAATCTGAGACATATAAAAAGTGAAAATAAGTTTTAGTTAACATTATTATTAATATTTACCTTTGTTATCTTGAGACCCCTCTAATTCATTTTGGGACCTCATGGGGGAGTCTGACCCCAATAGGCTGGGAACCACTGCGCTTTTAATCCCTCTGCCTTTTGAGAGTACTATACTTCTTGATTTATAAAATACAACAAAATTATTCTTGGTGTATAGACGTCTCCTGTTTCTGAGTTTGTATATGAAAGCTGGGACACAAATGTTTCTGAGTATGAAAGCCCCTGTGTCCAAAAGAAAACAAATGTAGTCTGCCTATAGGGCTTTCCCATAAATAGTCTACAGTAGTCCATGAGAAGAGTCTTGGTATGATGTACTAGTTTTAAGCACAAGATGTCAAGTGTGCAATTTTAATGCATCATACTAACTCAGTTCAACTCATTTTGGTGTCTGGAATTGTCACAGTAACAATAAATGTATCTGTGTATCAATATTAATATTCAAGCTTTCACTCACTCTTTCAATGAGTGAAGTAAGACTGTTGACACTGCTGTGATGGCATCACTGCTCCACTAGAGGGCAGAATTGAATCACAACAGGAGACGGATCAAACCTTCACTTCAGAAGGTGTTTGAGTCTTTATTCAGTATTTTAAATTTCCATATCAGAATAAAACCTCATCCTTTTTCTTTTTATGCCAGATTTTAATTTTCGACATTATTGATATGACAGAAAGCTTCTGAAAATTTAAAACGGTTTTCACTTAGAACCAATGCAGGATTTATGTTTTATACAAAACTGACTGGTCAAAATTATATTTTAATGAAAAGCAAATATGATACATATATTATATGATGATATGATAGATATTATGTTTATAGAGGAAGGAACAGTTTCCTCAAAATGTTTGTGCGTGTGTGTGTGTGTGTGCTCATTATGAGGTTCCTCTGGGAACTGATTATTTTAACTGTGTAATTAGTTCTTGTGACTTGAGAAAAAAAAAAGATACTTATTCCTCCTTTGTGAGTAGTTTTATGATCAGATTTGGCAACAGTTAAATGACTCCCCTCAGGCTTTTATTTTGCATGAATCAAACTGTAACAATGTTCTTTCATAACACTGACTCACTATAAAGACTATCCCAAAACAGCATGCTGGGACATCTGAGTGTCACATGGTGACACTCCACGACTCTTTCTCATGTTTGGACAAATGACGTTAACACTTTTAACTAGCAGAGTTCTTTTATCTGTCCTGACGTGGCTGAAACCAATTATTTACAGTGTGTAGGGCTGAGAGCAGTAGGTGCAGCTGTAGCTCAGACAAATGTCTTCTCAACGTATCAGTTCATCACATCACGCTGTGATATTTTCTAAACAGGCTACATCCCTCTGTCAAATACGATTTTCTCCCGTCTGTGCTCGGCCCACACTCTGTTTGTAACGCTCTACTGTTTGTGTTTGTCCATCGCAGCCCAAAAGACTGGAATCTATCTAGTGTCTATTGATACTAGGATTAGACTGATAAATCAGCTGATGTTGCAGTGTTGCAGACTCAAAAGATCAACGCACTTGCTCTAAAAATTATATTAGCCAACATCAAAATGTACAATTTTACAGATGTGATGTAATGTGACTGCTTTTTTGTTGGCTTTTCAAACAAGAACACGACAAAATATAAGCGGCTCTGTATCCATCTTCAACATCATGAGGAGGAAACTGTCCAACGAGTCCTGCAAATCAGCACCTTCAGAATAACAAACCATCATTTTGGTGTCAAAGTGTCAGTACTGGTCAAACCCAATCCATCAATATTTTACAGACATAGCAATAGGTAACATCAAAATATCAACCAGATGTTAGATATTAACATCTACCACTCAAAAAAGTGTTTTGCTTTTTACTCCTTACATTGATGTTTGAGCATCTCTGTGCAGACTGATGTATGTTCAGAGTCTGACACTAAAATATTTTTTCACATTCATCTGCTGCAGGATGGGGAAAAGTTTCTCTGAGCAAACCTTAAATCTCAGTTTAACACGCGTAAACAGGATTTATGGCATCAGGTAAACCAGCCGTGGGCCAGTGATTAGATTACACAAGTGTGATGTGGTAACTTGTGATGATGTGTTTCCTCCATGGGAACAAATAAAAGCAATATTTCAAATCTTGTTGTCACTCAGTATAATGTTAACATTTAAATATACTGTAGCTCTGACACAACTTTTTAAATAACTTAACCCGAAAAATCCAAATTTGAACATCCAGGCTACTGAGGATAATCAATCAAGCTTGACGGGTATTGATCAGGCTGCTGTCCAGTCACATGATCTGAACTTGCAGTCTGACTAAAAAACACCAGAGGAACAGGTTTGAATTTTTCATCTTGAATTTAGACTTTTTAATTTCACAGCTCCAATTTTAATAACTTGAGCTTTTGATCTACTCTGACCTGACAATTTTTTTCATACTGGACATTTGAATTTTCTAAACTTATGAACTCCCAAAAAAACATAAAATTTTTGTGCTGCTTGAAATAACCTGGAAATTTACAAAAGGAAGAATATCACATAAACTTTTATCAATGCTATAAATTCAGTGGTGCTGATAAGATTCTCATCATTAAGCCTCTTATGTGTTTACATATGTTTCAGACACAGTACAGTAGCATTCTACCTCAGTGAAATATGTTCTCCCTTTTGATTTACCATCATGTTTTTGCAGCTTCACTGAAACAAATATGCTGATGTGTAGAGAACTGCTTCAAACACTTAAATGCTGCGAATACAGTACAAGTATGAAAAGGAAATGAATTCATCATTACAGAAACGTTTCTGAAATTAACTGAACATATTCAGTCTGTTGTCTGCCAGTAAGATAATGCAGAGGAGATAGTGAATTACTGGCAGTACATAGCAACACAACTGACCACAGATCTGTTTGATCTCATTAACTCAAAAGCAAATGTAACACAGGACACATATTTTAAACTTGATAAGGTCCAGAGGAAGTGCAGCTTTCACCGTTTAACTGCTAAAAAAAAAACTGACTAAATGTTTGTAAATGTCCTTCAGTTAATGAGAAGCTGAGGTGAGTCATCAGGTTCCTAAAATCCTTTAAAAAAAAGGTGTTCTTTCATTCTATGGTGAGCCAAATAGGTGACACAAGCTTTACTTGATTTTTCTGTGACTTAAATAAAAGTGTCCATTGGCTCTGCTGCAAACTACAATACATCATCCCTGCTGAGCTCATTGATTATAATGCTCTTTATCCAGGAGCTTGCTGCCAGTTGGCACAGTTACCAAAAAGGAACAAGAAAGTTGTTTTCAGTGTAGGAAATGGAAATGGCTTAACTCCCACTAATAGATTACGGCTTTAGATCAACAAAGATGCTGTCAGCGGGATATTTGATGGACTTTCACACTGAACAGGATTTCTGTGAACAGCGGGAGACTGTGGAAGAGGCTGAGGAGGATTGGAGGAAGCACAGAGAAGTTATGAAATGACACGACTGGCAGCCGCAATCCTCGCTTCACACAGAAAAAGCAAACACAAGCGTCTCCGGTAATATTAGAAGTGAGTTTATTAATCACAAATTGAGTGGTTCTAAAAAAAAAAAACAAAACAAAAAAAAAAACAAAGAAATAAAGAAAGAAAGAAAAAAACAAAACAAACCCAGCAGGCCCTGAATGGACATTCTACTGTGTGTGAGTTTGGTTCAGAAAATCATGTTCATACATGTACCAGTCCTCAGTCAATAATAGTTTAACAGAGCTGTTAACTTGCACACAACACTTTGGAAACCATCTCTCAGTGTGATGCAAATATAATCTCTATCACAACACCCAACCAGATCCGGACTGTCTGGGGGTCAATGTCGCTGCTGCACTAGACTTCCTGTTTTTTTTATGCGGTCGACACTTTGCATGAACTCTGGATTATAAAACACTCATGATGCCTGAATCATTACAGCTGTATTACAGCTGCATGACACTTCTATGAATACTTTGTGTTCATTTCTAAAAGCAGTGGCACAGCAGTGGGTTCCAAAATAAAATTCCACACAGTATTGGTGTTATAAATGAAAAACATACCCCCATTAAAACCTGTTCTAAACCAGAGCCCATATAAACGCCCCTGCTTTGGGTGTCCATATTTTTCTTTTGCCTAGTAGTGCCGTGTGTCTTTACCAAAAATAATTCCCACTATATTTAGGCACTAATATATTTCTATGTCTACTTCAACATGTCTACACCTTCAAATCTATGAAAAAAAAAAGCTATTTACAAATTTGCAGATATGTAAAGACGGGAGGTGGAAATTCACGGTGACATCATTCCTCTCAAACGCCATAGTTAAATGAAAGCGAAACGTGAAGCGTGACTGCACTGTAGACACAAACAAGAGGGAGAGAGATCAGGGAGAAAATGGACTACTGTAAAGGCAGAAGGCACTTAAGAGGAATGAGATTTGTAGAAATGAGGAGGAACTTATGCACCTGTGACTTGTATCTCACTATAGACTGTAATGTACCTGGAACAGGATTCATTTTTCAACTTCACTGGGTTTACTGGTACAATAGTACATTGTTTCTCTTGGTTCCTTAGAGCAACATGTTAACTTGGAAAAAAGACTGAGCAGTGTCTTCCTATGTGCAAATGTTGGGCAGATCGTCTCTACCATGACTGATAGTCAGTTAACATTTTACCACACTCCAGTATAAAACATTCATAACAGTGGAGCGAGAGATTCATATGAGCTGCATTGGACTTCCATGAGCACCCATGCATATTGTGGCTGTTTTATGAGGTTGGAGCTCCAAAAGATGACGAGAAGAAGCCAGAAACAACAGAATATTGAAGGTGTTTGTTCTGTATCACTTTTCAAAAGGGTCGAGGCGTTTTTTCTATGCTGCTGTTCAGAAGCTCATCTTTACATGTTATGAATGATATGATAAAATGTTCCCTTTTCTCAGCCTTACAAATGGAAAGAGTTTCATATCGCCTCAAATAGGATTTTTTTTTTTTACATTTTCCACCACTTTACATTATCTTGAGAGAGAAAGAGAGAGAGAAAAATCTATATACAATCAGTACAAGTGTTAACCCTCCAGACCCCAGCTGTATGTTACGGTCACACTGCAGTGTAGGGTCGGTTCTGTTTGCTTCAGCTTCTCTGAGAGAAATGGAGCTTCAGTCGAAGCTAAAATCATTTTTCTTTCTAACTAAAACTTTTAGTCACAACTAAAAATGTTAGAAATGTTAGACGAAGTCAAGACTAATTATTAGAAAAACAGTTTGTGAACAAATTGGACATTAGCAAATATCACCTGACTGTGTATCTCCTGTGGAGCTGGAACATTTCCACTGATGCTGGTGGTACCTTGAGTAATTACAGCTTAAAAATAGGCGACTCAGTAGTTAAAATAACCTGGTCTTGATAACAGGCTGTAAATGTCACTCACAGGAACAAAGAGGTCTGTGTTCTGTGTGTCACATCGTCCAATTTAGAATTCAAATTGAGGCTTTTACACTGTGGGATTTGTTGGTACCGTCTGTTCAACTTTGTCTTTGTTTGGGTCTGGAAGGTTAACCTGCAAACCCTGCATAATCATTATCATTATTATTATTATTATTATTATTATTGTTATTATTATTATTATTATTACTATAGTGTAATACTGAACATATGTATGACAGCAAAACTCTATCCTGGACAGTAAATTCAATATATACAAGATCAACAGCAAGCATAGAAGGACACTTAAAATCAAGAAAACGCAGCACTGATTGTGGACAGTGTTTCACAGCATTTGACTGGCACTCTTCAAAGCCTCTTACTAAGACTATCTACAAACATCAACATGGAAGTCTCTCGCAACACAAACTGGGCTTTCCCAGCGGAGAAATTAAATATGTAAGACCGCTAATCAAGAACCACATCTTGATATGCTAATACAAGTCATTTTTCATCTGTTGTTTTTTTCTGATTGCAGAGGTGTAAATGCTTACAGCTTGATGCAAAGTGGTTAAAGTATTACATATTTTTCATCCACAACCAAATAATAATAATAAAAAAAACATGTTAGTATTTTACAAATATTTAAAAAAGTAAACCTTTATCTATAGGCATTTTAAAATATATTCCATCAAAAATAGTCTGACAAATTTCAACAGTAGAAAAGAAATGTTATACATATGACAAAAGGTTTGAAGCTGACAGTTTACAGTAGAAATGTATCATGATTGACTGACTGTGGAGGAGAGAGAGAGAGACTCCTCCTTCTCTTTCCTGCTCTCCACCTCCATTAGTGTTTAAAATCGTGCAAGAACTGTAAAGTAACAACTCCGCAATTTAGCAAAAGAATTCAGCTGGTGGAGATAAAAGTTGACCTGTTCACCTCCGTCCCTACGTGTGTAATCGTTTGACATATTGTTGTCCTGTGAAATCTTGTCACCTTTGGCAAACTTTGAGTAGTTGGATTTCGGTCGTGCTGAGAAGCAAGAGCATGAACTGTGGCAGCTCCGTGGTCAGACAGCATGGAGCGCAGTCCCACACGTCATGTCGTTCGCTCAGCACGACGCCCCTCGTCTTCCTCTCCCTTGTCAGATCACAAATGACGACTTGTGTCGGAAATCCCCCTGCAGAGGACATGCATCCAGACAGGAGCAAAATGTGAGACTTCATCATTTCACAGAGGTGGTTCAACATTGACACAGTTACAGTGTTTTACTCCATTTTCTAGCAGAAACTTTAATCTGGGAACCGGGAATAGAAAAATTTAAGCACTAAAGTATGTGATGAGCCAACACTTAGATGCAGAGTAGAACGTTGTTTCCCAAAAGCATCTTAAGGCAGAGACAGTCTTAGTTCCACTGTAGGCTAAGATTGATTTGACTTCATCATAAACAACACACAGATAAAGCATTTGTTCAAATATTTAAACAGAAGAAGAAGAGCACTGAATCTGTGTCTTTTGCTTAAAAGACACAGACTCAATCCAACATGGCACCTGGACAAGCAAAGACAAACAATATAAAACACACTGTAAACAGCATGTAACACAAAGTGCTGGAGGGCCTGCTAACAGTAGTGTTTAACAGTCTTGAGTGAAAGTTACAGATTTCATTGTTGTAGTAATTACTAACTTTACAAACGGTACATATGTACAGTATATATAGTATGATATATAGTTATGAACCTGTTTTTAAGACTTTAGAGACACCTGGTAGAGTGCGTACCACATGGGCTTAGTCCTAACCACAGCGGCCATGGGTTCTAGTCTGACCCCTGGCTCTTTGCTGCATGTCATCCCCTCTCTCTCTCTCCCTAACTTTGACAGTGTGTAGTATATATACACACGCCTGTAAATAGTCTGAATCTTGTCCATTCAGGAATTTATACATATGACCTGCTGCTAAATACTGAACCCTGTTAGAAACTAAAATGGATCATTTTACTTTTATAAAAAATGTATTTGCACCATCTTATTTTGAACAGTCTGTGAGCAGGTCTGTAGCTGCTTAGAAACACCATGAAATTCATTGTCATTTACATGATCACTTGAACTAACATTAAGAAACATTTTTTCTATTAAAAATAGGTCCATGGGTGTTAAAGACTAAGCACAGAGTTAGCAGATATATTGCGAAACATGATAAAAGTCCAGATTGTGGTTTGGACTTTCATGACTCCACTGCAGGTAACATGAATAATTTAATGTTTCAATTTCATCAAATTTAGTTCCAGTCTATTGTCTACTAGTCATGTACTCAATCTCCCATGTTTTCAACATCAGAGACAGATTTTAAACTCACAAAAAAGGGTGAATCATCAGTATATGTGGACTGTGTGAGGCTCATCAAAGGCACATACAGGTGGTTTTCTTTTAACCTGTTTACTGTAATATATATACTTTGTAGTACTTCTGACCATATGTATATTTTTAGGCTGATTTCCCAGCAGACAGACTTGAACAGCTTCAGTTTCAAAATAAGCGTTAAAACCTTTTTATAGTATCATTTATAAATACTATAGGCATCCGTCTACAAACCTCATCTTCCGTCCTGACGTAGTCCACCCCGTCTCCTTTAGCTGGAACTTTGTAACTGAAGGACACAAAACACATCATGGTTTTATGGATGACAGGTTGAAATGGTGCAGGTTAGAGGGGGATACATGTATGTGTTGATTATTTCAACAGGAGGGGGACTTGGTGTCTTACTTGTTCCCCGTCTGTTTTTGGCTGGAGAAGTAGCCTCGCTTGTACGCACAGCAGATGCCCACTGTTATACACAGGAGCACCACGACCACCACCAGCACTCCCAGTATGATCCCCACCACATCAATATCATCTGTGGAGTCCAAGTGAGAGTGTAGAAATTAAACACTGACATTTTTTTTTTTGACACAAAACTGACTCAGCTCTGATTATCTAGTTCACCATCACATATTCATCCAAGCATTGTATCTGTTACACACTTACACACTTCCATCTTCTGGGGTGGACACTCAGAGTATCCTGCATCGTTCTTCGCTCGACAGAAATAGTCCCCTGCATCTTCTTTTCTGACTGCGTTGAACTTCTGCATGAGAGGAATCACAAACCAATTAAATCTTATACCATCAGTTTGTGTTTAATCAACAGCTGTTTATATCTATGATATTTATATCTATTACAATTTGTATGAATTATATTCTATATTAAATAAAATCAGTATATAGTCGCAGAGGCTAAATACTGGAGTGTCATCGTGGAAGGAAACTAGAGTCCTGTTACTGTGAGTAGAGACAGAGTGACATTCATACCAGATTTACACTCATTGTGATAGGAGACAAAATGTCAGTGGATTTAAATATAAAGAACTGAAAAGAATTAGACTCAGTGCTGTCTGTTCCTGATAAAATAGTGAACAAACGAGCTGAAGTAAGACAGGACGTACATACTGTCTACAGCTTAACTTGACACAGGATGTAAAAATGAACCCTGTTGTAGTGCTGTGAGTCTTTGAGGCAACATACCAGAGCAGCTTGTGGTGCTATATTACACTAACCTTTTAAAAACTACATAAAACAGTGGGTAGTCTGTTTCTCTGTGCAATGGCATTCAAACTTGCTGCACTCACTCTTGTGGGCTTTCAGAAATATTCATAAAATAAATAGTAATAAGTCATTTAATGAATAAGTCATATTTTAATGAATGAAATTGTTATTTTTGTTGTTATTTTCCTTTTCTTTTCCCTCCTTTTTTATGTGTATATACAGTAATGTATAAGAAAGTGTAGCTTTTTTATGTTCAAGCTAAAATATATATATTTTTCTTTAAACCTGCAAATTCTATCTTCTTCATATTTTGGAAGAAAGAAAGATTTATAAAACAATAACAAGAAAAAACTTGATAAACAAGAAATTCTTTTGCATTATTTTCAAAATAATGCAAACTAATCTAATACAAAATAATAATACATTTTACAAATTCCACTGTCTACATCAGCTGTTGGTCATTTTTGTTCAGAGCAGAGTGATCACTGAGTTATCTGTGATAAGTCTAAAAATAGGCCTAACAGCCGAAACCAGAAAGTACAGGAGAAAAAAAACATCCTCTAAACCTCATTGTAACTAACTTTGTAAGACAAACACCAACACTGTAGTTTGCTGTAACATCTTAGAGGGCAGCGTGAAGGCTTACAGGAGAGTGTTGCAGGCGGAGCAGATCGCGCCGTGCTGGAAAGCAGGCGAGAATTGAGGAATGTGCAAACGAGGACAGCAGATTCCCCTCGTGGCTCAAGCCCTCTCGCACCATCAACTGTCTCCCCAAAATATCCGCCCCCACCCCTGGGCGTTGGGCCACCGTCCCTCCTGCCCCACCCTTGCCGCTCATGCGTGTCCTTGTCGAAAGACATGCGCACACATACTAACCAGCGTCCCTGTTTCTGCGTCAAGCGTGTACGAGGAGTTGAAGAACTTGAGGCTGGTCTTGGGGTCGTCGGGAACCTCCTCCCTGTTCTTGAACCACTGGTACTCAGACTTGGGGAAGCCCTCCTCTTCCACGCAGCTCAGCTCAGCTGACTTCCCAAAAGGCACCGATTTCGGGACGCTGCATTTTGGCACCACTGGCTTCACTGGGTTGACACAAAACATATGATCACAGTCACTGTACTGAGTCTTCATGGAGAGCTTTACAGTTTTGATATTCGCCGAGCATCACTGAGATAGCAAACTGACACCATACTGCTCGGCCTATCATTGACTCTGATGCTTTAAAAAACAATGTCACCCTGACCCTGTATGGTTCACTGGACTGCCTGCATTGACAGGACCCAATGGGTACACGATTTTTGACCTGTGCCAAAAAACGCCACCAAAACACGCGCCTGCTTTCTTTAGAACTGCAATTCAGAGCAGATGCAGTTTCAGAGGTTTCCTCTTATAGCCCAGAACACGCCTTTGCAGCTGGGCAGGTCTGGTCATAACGCATCCTCATATGTATGCCAAAGGGTTGGTGCGACCTACAGCACGGTTTCATCTTACAGCATCTAAAGTGTGAATCACTAAGCAAGGTCTCTCTTTTAAGGGCACAATAACAGCCTGTTTTCCACATTTAGATAGACCTTTATCATATTTTGATATCCTACATTTGACTCTGCATGAAACATAGGCACACACACACACACACACACACACACAGATTAACTGATGATGTAAATAAGTCAGAGTACCTCTTACAACAAGGTCAATCACAATCTCATCAAATGACTTGTGGTCATCAGCAGCAGTGACCTCACAACGATATTTTGCTGTGTCCGATCTTGTGGCATTGGTAATCAGTAACGTGGCAGGTTCTCTGATCACTGCTCTGTTCTCGAGGTCACCTGAAGAAACACATGTTCAACAAGGTCAGTAATACATGTGGAAGAGATTGACATGTGACATGTGTGTGCAGCTTCAACATTACCTGAGATCTTCTTGTCAAAGTATACATAACTTGGTCCGTCGTTAGTTATCTTCTTCCATTCGATTCTGGGATTGGTTGTAGTAATGGACTCAATCAAACACGATAACTCGATTTCTGCAGGGTGGAGAAAAGATCAGAGCGGTGACGAGAAATTCATTCAAGACTGATGTGACACAGACAAAGTGTGGGATATTTGTTCATCAGCTCTTACTGTCAAACTCATCGGTCCACGGTGAGTTGTTGTTCGTTTTCAGCACCACTGCCAACACACTTAAGTAGCCTGCAAAACAAGAGAGAGGAGGCGGTACAACATTAGACTCTCCAGAGCATACATTTCCATGATACACTGATGATCTCATGCTAAATGCACAATACCAACTGACAGCCTCTGATGTGCTATGCTTGTTTTAATACCCTCCTTGGGGGTGTTTGTACCCCATTCACTCGTCTTTAATTTCACAAACACAATTTAAGTGAACACAAATGTCAATCCCACATCAGTGTGATGGTCTTAGCATCCCAGCCTTGTTCTCTTAGTGTCCATTTTTAGTTGTGTTGGTCAAACCATTGTGTGTGTGTGTGTGTGTGTGTGTGTGTGTGTGTGTGTGTGTGTGTGTGTGATGAGGGTAGGGGTGCTGTTTCTATGCACAGTGGATAATTGCGCAGGGAGGCATGTGCCCTTTTCAGGGCAAGCTCACCATGCCAGTAGTTCAACCGCCTGCCGAGCCCTTCTCTCTCTCTCCCTCTCTCCCTCTCTCTCTCTCTGTCCCTCCCTCCCTTTCTCTGGGCCTGATGCTGTTGCCCATGTGGGACTAATGGTGCAAAAGCACCCTGGAAAGATCTGTGTTGGTATGTGGTGGAGGGATAGGGCCTTGGGAGGGGGCACTGCTGAATCATCCTGACAGCCTATGGTCCACAAACACATCCACACAAAGTCACTTCCACATGAATGTTAACGAGGGAACAGGCTCATGAACACTTCCACAGACATAAAGCGATGGTCTGGCTTTCAGTTTCAGGATCACTGACTGAAAATCTGTGGAGTGCTTAATCTCCATTTCTACAACCTCTGCTGCTGCTAACTGAACCTTCAAAATAAAAGGAGTAGCAGGAAATGATCATATGAGTTATAACTGTTGTCCTGTATTCTTTTTTACTGACTATACACACGTTTATTTTCACATTTCACAAGTCATGATACATCTCAGTGGTCCATTAGAAAGCTGTTTTAACATCAAGGTTACCTGGACTACGATGAAGTGTATTTTCCCAAATTTGCAGTAGTTTTGTGGTTTCACCACAATCAGATGGTGACATATTGGCTTATTAGTAACATAGATGGATTACTGAAAGAGCATACAAGGAGCAGGCCCAGGGCCCCTGGAGCAGAGCCTCTGCACGAAGAGATGCTAAATGCTAACGCTTCTTGTTGGAAAGTCAATCAAATGACAACAGAAACAATTAACAACCACAAAGAGACAATACATCATCAAAAAGACAAACAAACTGAAAACAAAGACATACAAAAAAAAATCTGCCCCCGTTTGGTTCCCCTATTCAAAAGTTTTTGAATTGCCCCTGAATGGTGCGTACAGTATGTGGGTGTGGTCTGCTCACTAATTAAGTGGTGGAGGTGGTGCTGGCGCCTCTCATTCAAAGAAACAGGGATAACCTGACCTCCACCAACTGTCATCTGGACCCACAGCAGTGTCTAGGGTCACCTGCTAAAGTAGACAGGGTAAGCTGATTAGCCCACAGTCTTTCTGGAGATCATGACAAGACGACAGCTTGTTTTTAGCTGCTGCTGCTGAGAGTAACAACGATGCATGGTCAAAAGTAGGTCATAATTACCGGTACATCTGACAATAAGAGATCTACTGTTAGTGGTACAGTGGAAATGCTAAGTAAATCTGCAGAGCCAGGCCTCCATCATATGCTCATCATGTTCAATTTTACACTAAACCAGAGATGAAGTTTTACCAGATGCTACTCCCAATGCTGACAAATAAAATAGAATAGACAAAGATAGAAGAAAACCATTGTTTCAAGCAGCCGTCTATGCAAACATCTTCCCTGCTGAAAAGTCTGCGAGCAAGACTCTGGATCCAGAACGGTTCCAGGGTGCTGCTCTGTGGCTGACCCTGACCTCGCGGGGGGCTAAATAAATACATAAATAAATAAGTCAACAGATATTTTCCCTATAGGGATCAAGAGTATTGTAGCACCATATTTGAAGCTACTTACAGCTCAGCAGCACAACAGCTGAGGACGACAGTGAAATGTTAAACAATTTTAGCTTTGCATCTTCATGAGAAATTTATTCTGCACTGAGCTACAGCAGCAGAGACAAGTTTTTGGATAAAGTTTAGTTTTACAGCACTAAACAAAAAAGGAAAAAAAAAAGGAAAAAAAAAGAAGAAAAACTGTGTTTTTTAAGTGAGAACTTTAACAAAGAATTGCAGAGGAGTGGGGAGGAGAGTCTGCACTGTCTGCCACCTCTTTAACTTCCTCTCCACGGCACTACATGCTGAAAATCACACAGAGTTCTGGCAGAATTAAAAGCTGTGTAGAGGAGAAATGATTTTTGCTTCTCGTATTGTAGCGACAGTTTTGTACAAATGTGAGCTGTCTACTGATGAAAAGAGGCTGAATGACAATCTTTACACTGAAAGGTAGGAATACGACTGAATCCATGTTTACCTGATCTTCAGTGAAAATCCTGTCAGTTCACTTAATTCACACATGTACAAATATGCTATTTTTACTGTTTCTGACAAAAGTTTGTGTATGTGAGGCATTTCACTGCTTACTTGTGGGTTTAAGTTTCAATTGCACTGCATGTACTGTGTAACTTAATACCAAATCTAACTAGGCCACGTATGCCAAGAGTCCAAAATATCAGAATATGTTGTGCTGAAATAGAATCTAAAACTGATAATAAATTATTCCACGTGATTAATTTAGTTCCAAAACTTTCCATTAAATGAAGCCCTCAGTTTCATCTTTGGTCTGACGGAGCAAACAGAGTTTACCCGCCGTCCCTGTGCTCCTTCTTAACTCCGAGAGTATTAGTGCAGATTAGGTGCCTAAGTGAGCTTGACGTAGAGATAAAAAGCTTGAGAGGTCTTCCGTGGAAACAGCTGTCCAGGAAAGACATGAAACCCCCACTCAAAAGGACTGGCCAGTGAGGTTCTTTTATACTTTACCTCAAGCTAATAAACAGGAGGAACAGAGCAGTGATGACTTCTGAAATAAAGTAATGTTCATCAGTGATGTTACAGAAAAACTACTCAGTATTTTAGAGAGAAGCATTGAATGCTGCACAGTATTACAATAGACTGTATATACTTCACACAAACTCTGCACTCCAGTGTTACAGGAGACACCTGTTTACGGTTTAACTGACCCCGTCTCACATACGAAGTGAATATTTTGAAAATGTCCATTTTTCCAATTTCCTTTTTACACTGTTTAACACGCAGCCTTCAGTCATTTGTGGAACTAATTTTCCAACTATACAAACAATTTATATGTTTGTGTTACTTCATTCTATTCTCCTCTGTTTTATGATGATTTGTTTTTCTTTTGTTTTAATTGCTGTTTCAATCCCATTTTTGCTTTCTCCTAAATACTTTGTAACTTTGTTAATAAAAGTGCTAATATTATCATTATTATTATTATTATGATTATTATTATTGTTACAAGTATACAATTTATTGATTAGGCAAACCAAAGGAAATTAATGGACAAGTGTTCTTATAATCAATTAATTGTTTGAGAATTTTTTCAAGCGTAAATATAATAAATGACATGTGCTTGTTCCAGCTTCTTAAATGTGAATATTTGCTGCCTCTTATGGTTTAATTATCTGTTGTCTGGACAAAACAAGGAATTGAGATTGAGATAAGCACTTTTCATGGTTTTGTGACACTTTAAAAACAAAACAATCAACTGATTAACTAAGAAAATAACGGCCAGATCAATCAATTAATGAAAACAATTGTTAGTTGCAGACCAAGTAATTTGCAGTCTTTCAAGAAGTCTTTCATTCAATTAAATTTTTGAAGTGTGAACTTAGCAACAACCAAACAAAGAAGATACAACTTTGGGCGTTCATGATAAAACCAATGGCTTCCTAAATATTTCAGCAATCTATTTAACAACTGCTTCCTCCTGGGTTTCCTTTCAGCACAGGTTGCGTCTGTGAAACAACAAGAAACAGCTGGACCGTCCAGTGTCAAGTATCTGAGCTTGGTGAAAGCTCGGGAAGTGCTGACTGTGTGTTATGAGAGCGGTGTTTCCCATCTCTCCTCCAGTCCGTCTGACACATCCTTCCCTGATCATGTCCTACTCATCCCGTCTGCGTTCCCGTCTCCTTGAATAGCCTTAGAGGTCTCGCCCTTATCTCCTGTACCAACGGAGTCGGTGATAACTACATGTGATTACTTTTATTAGTGTGTCTCACACACTAGAGCAAAGCAGAGCGCGAGCGGGTCTGTGTGTAAAATGTGTGATGTAGAATCTTAGCACCATGCAGGTGCTCAGTGACCTACATATTCCATCATTTTCTTTTCTCTGTTTCCTTTTTCCTTCTTGGTTGGACACAGCTGTGTGAGATCTGGCAATCTGCAAATCTGCATCAAAGTTTTTTTTTTTAATCTTCCTTGCTGCCCCCATGATGGGAGCAGGGTTTTCTCTGTAATCTTAGTGTAATGCCCTCATAAACCCCCCAGGTTTTACATTGCTGAATAATACAATAAGCAAAGAGGAGCTGGGTATTTCTTGATGCCTGCACTGTGTAATGAATCCCTCCTTTTTTTCTGTTGTTCCCCCTGGGACGCCGCACTTGTTTCCTCTACCGCTGCTCGGTGAATCCAGAGAGGTGAGGCTGGTATCATAAATAGAAAGGTTCAATTAAGCAACCGGTGATATTCCCTGTGGATCATCTCTGCCTCGTGCCTGTGGAGAATATTCCCACGCCCTTTGGAAGCTCAGACATCAAAGTACACACACCCAGTTTCACTAACTATCAAACAGTTGCTGTTTGGAAACTCTTCACGTATCCAAGTGCTGCTTGAGATGCACAGAACCTCTGAGCCGAGTCTGTGAGTAAACAAGATGTTGATGTGGATGACCATGAGGCTGCTAATATTCTTTTATTATATATTTTATAAAATGAATTACCTTATTAATTCTGATCTGCTAGATTCATGAAGTGCAGAGTAGGAAACTAATTTTCTTCCCTTGTCCAGCAGAAATCTGACATCTGCCCCCAGACAT